GGGGGGGGGGGTGGAAATTATATTATATTATATATATAGGGAGGCAGCAGAGAAGAGTCAAGCAGTCTGACCCCTGCCACCTGCCCACCACTATTTGCCCCACTGGCATGGCCCTGTGCTCCTTGCTCCCTGCACCCCTTGGCACCTGCCTTCCTATCTGGCCTCCTTGCTTCTCCCCACTTCCACCCTCCTGTTTATCTTACCCTACAACTTTAATGGCACTTATGCCGGGAAGGCTACAGCATGGCTTAGTAAGAGCCCAAACTGTCTTCCAAAAAAGTCTGTGCTTTTAAATCAATTACCTGATTAACAGGCTAAATCAGGGGTTGTCAACAGGGGCTACGCGTATGCCCGGGGTTATGCATGGGGATGGAGCACCACCACCCCGTACCACCACCTCCCAGAAGCCAGACTGCGGTAGGGCAAGGGCAGCAGCAGGCTGAACAGGTGCCACCCGGCCGGCCAGATGCAGGGGAAGAAGCTTGCACGTGGCAGCCATCCACCACCCTGCGTTGCTGCTCTGTGTGCAGCTGCTGCCGCTGGCCCTCCCCCCCTCAAAAGCATTGGGTACACTGCTCAAAAAAAGGTTGAAAGCCCCTGGGCTAAATTCATAGATAGCTTTCTAAGAGAGCTATTTAAATTAAGACTCATCTACTTAAGTCAGCAATGCATCCAGTCCTTTGTCTACAGATGTAAGTGTTCTATTTTCAAGGAGGCAGAGTGTGTTTAAAACAAAAAAAAAAAACAAAACCATTTATGGAAGTGTCCATCATGTCATGTAAATCCTCAGTAAGCTTCACTTCTCCCAATTATATTGGATTGAATTTATCATATCAGCAAAACAAACAAACTTCAACATCCTTTCACATCTTAAAATTCTTGCTGTAACTTACGTTCTCCTTGGTCTCAGTCTCTGATCACTGTATGGAATCAGCGCTACAAGCTGGTTTTCCTGCCCTATAAATATACAAGAACACTTCTCAAATACCTTTAGGTATACTTAGACACACTTATACTTTTAGGCAAAACAAAGAGCAAGCAATTAGAGTGTAGCATAATCCAACACTGGACCCTTGGAATTTTATTAAGAAAATACAGGAAGTTGAAGCAACACATTTTCTGAAGTGTCTTGTTACAGAACCTTTCATCCCAAAAAGCTGATTTGATAAAAGTGCCAAAAAGCCCCACTGAAGCATGCAAGCTATACAGACACTGGAGAGCCGGATCAAACTGATGCGATTCTTCTTCTGAGCATGTACTGTGCTTGGTAAGTGGATGCGCCAAGCTGAAACTAAAGCTCTGGGTTTTCCCCCCACCACATCTGTCAGTAGTACCGCGTGCAATTTATCTCCAACCCTCTAATATACAGAGGTCCTACTATCCAACACATCTATGCAAAAGAACTCAGAAAAGCTTGGAGAACAGCATCCAGCTGGTAAGTCTGTGGAGGAAAAGGGGCAGGGAAGGGGTGTGGGAATGGGGCAGATCAAGGCCCCCCCCCGCCCCCCCATGATGAGAGAAGGAGTGGGGCTCGGCCTGGGTCAGGCCCTGCCCAGCTGGGGTGGGGCACAGGACAGAACTATGAGCAGTTCATCTGGGGGTTTGGGGGTGGCTCCCGCCCTGGCGCACTCCAGGGGAGGCATGAAGGGCATGTGCCCCCCAGGTCTGCATGCAGGGCAAAGGCAGGCTGATGCTACAAGCTGGGGCTGGAAGCAATGCTGGCTCTTCTTGGTGGGGGTACTTGGCTGGGGCTGTGCATAGGACAGGTGGTGGCAGTGGGAAGGGAGTTTCTCAGGGGGTGGGGAGAGCTCTGGCAAATTCTGGGGTGGGCTGTGGCCACCCCAGAATTCACTGTAGGCCCCCTGCCCAAGCCCCCACCTCCAGTGCTGCTGCCCACTCCGAGCGCAGCCCCAGCTCAGAACCCCCCCACCCCCGGCCAGACAGACAGAGTCTGGGGCCGCTCCCAGCCCCAGCCTGCCCTAGTCCCACGCATAGATCCAGGAAGCATGTGTTCCCCATGCCTCTGCTGGGAAGCACCAGTGGCATAAGCTCCTTCCCCTCACCCCCCTGGACAAACTGCTAGAGACTCCATCCTATGCCCTGTCCTGGCCAGGCAGTGCCTACCCCTGCCCCCACCTCCCTTTCCTCCTCCCCCCACCCCTGACTTACCAGCTAGACACTGCTCTGCAAGCTGCCGGGATGCATATCAGCAATCGGATTGGTATCGGCCAATACGACTCATTAATAGAATTGGCCATCACCAATAAAGACTTTCTGGGCTGATGACACACCCTTACTACTTGAACTACACTTGATCTGAGCCTTCAAGAGGCCGAGAAGCGAGAAATAAGAAACTAAGAAATAAGCCTGTAAAACTGTTCTTATGAAGCAGACACAAAGTTGCCATCAGAAAAGCATGACCACAAGCATCCATCATAAGAACAAACAGTCAAAGTTGAATCAGCCATCACAAGGGCCACTCCACAGCCAGTATACCAGCAACAGGAGTGAATCAAGACAGTACCACCTAGAATATCAACATCATTAACTTATCACTATGCCACACCCACACTCTGAAATACCCATACTCCTCAAGAGATCTAGACTCCTGCCTAGAGAAACAACCTGACAAGGTACTAATATACAGAGAACTGAAAAGAATCTTTCTGCTGACTTCATCTCAGAGAATACTTCCACAGCAAAACCAGAACCACCTCTGACCACCTTCCCACCATGACAGAGAAGATTTAAAAAAAAAAAAAATTCTGATTAGACATTCCCCAGTGGATGGAGTCACATACTGCACTATTACATTGTCAGCTTCAGGGGAAAAAGCTGCCAATAGTGACATTCAACAGAAGCAAGGGCCACCAAAACTTTCTTCATTCAGAGGAAAAAAAACAAAACAAACAAACACCACCACACACAGTTCCCAAGACAAAAAAACAATATAGTAATAGTAAGGGCTACAGTCATCTTCTACTGTCCACACAGTGACAACTCTCCGACACCAACTACTATAACGAACTTGAGGAGGACCCAACACCAATGTTTTCTCTTTACAAATGTTGTTAAAGCTAGCATGGAAAAGATTTGATAGAAACTGCTCACACTAATCCCCTGCTCCCCCATCACAAGAACATTTTATATCTGCCCAAAGATTTACAAAAAGGTAATACTAGCAGATTCATTTCCAATTGCAGTATCCTTCTGAAGAGAGGTTAGGGATTCATAGAAACCATCCTTAAAAAAAACCCAAACAAACAAAAACAAAACAAGCCATGCATAGAACTGCGAGATAGTGCTCATGCTAAGCAAGGCCTAGCATATTTAACA